CCCCAGATATCCCACAGAGCACACACAGCCCCCCCGTTGGTGGCGCCAAGGGGATTAAGCGTCTGGGTTGTCTGGGATCCTAGCGCCTGGCGCCGACGGCTTATCTGCCTAGGGTCCCAGAGCCCCCAGCAGGCCCTCCCCTCTTATGTCACTACACTAGAAACAACTCTGCACGATTCTCGTCCACCCCAGCAGCCTTGCCGCTACAAAGGTCCTCAACCGCCGCAGCAACTTCAGCAGCCATGATGGATCTGACCCCCCCCACCCCCAGCTGTTTCCAGGGCTGCCTCCTGAAAGGAGGGCATCTCCACCTGGTTGAGGAGCTCCTTAAAGTGTTCCTTCCACTTCTCGACTATCTCCTCAGTTGAGTTCAATGTTACGCCACCCTGACTGAGAACAGTCTGGGCCACGTCCTGTCGACCCCTCCTAAGGCGTTGGACGGTTTGCCAGAACAGAACTTTGAAGCTCCCCGCTAGTCCCTCTGCAAGGCCTCTCCAAACTCCTCCCGTACCTGGGATTTTGTTCAGCAACTGCTACTGCTGCTGCCCTCTTGGCGATCCGGAAACCTCTCAATTGAGTTGGGAAACCTTTATCTGAGCACAGCTCGGAAAGCATCCTTCAACTTGACAGCTTCCCTCACCACCGGTGTCCACCAGTGGGTCCAAGGGTTGTCACCATGACAGTCACCAAAGTTCAAAGTTCATTTATTAGGTAGAGCCCTGTGAGCCATTCGGCTCTTGAATCGGTCGCAACCGCAACAAACAAAAAACAAAAACATGAACAAGAAAACATCTTAAAGTGACTATGTGCAAACAGAAAATCCAAGTAAAGACAGCAAAATATTGCCTTTAGGCTACAGCTGTCTGTAGCTGCATCCACAAACGAGGTCCTGAACATCATCCACTCGGACTCAATGTCTATGACCTCCCCTGGAGTGTAGGATACATTTCCTGGAGGTGGAAGTTGAAATCTTTCTGCACTGTTTCTTCCGGCAGACATTCCCAGGAAACCTACACTATTCGTTTTGGCCTTCCACGTCTATCTGGTCGGTACCCCAAGCATCGGATCCAATTTGCCACCAGGTGGTGATCAGTTTACAGCTCTGCCCTTCTCTTCACCCGAGTGTCCAGAACATACGGCCTTAGGTCCGATGATACAACTATAAAGTCAATCATTGACCTTCGGCCCAAGGTGCTCTGGTACCAAAGTACACTTATGAGCATCCTTGTGTTCAAACACGGTGTTTGTTATTTACATTCCATGACTCGCGCAGAATTTTAATAACATCTCACCATTCGGGTTCAGATCAGGGGGGTGGGGGGCATTCCTCCTAATCACGCCTCTCCAGGTATCTCCATCATTTCCCACGTGAGCATTGAAGCCACCCAGTAAGACTGTGGAGTCGGTAGGCAGCACTCTGTTGAGCACTGCACCCACCGTCTCCAAGAAGGCCAAATACTGCTGTTTGGTGCATAAGCACAGACAACAGTCAGAGCTTTCCTTTCTGAAACCCAAAGTCTCATTGAGGCAACCCTCTCATCCCCTGGGACAAACTGCAACTGAACAGCATCCAGCCGGGGGCTTGTGAGTATCCCCACATCCGCACGGGGCCTCTCACCAGGGGTTACTCCAGAATAGGAGAGAGACCACTCCCATCGAGAAGATTGGTTTCAGTGCCAATACCGTGTGTGGAGGTGAGAACGACTACGTCTCGTCGGTACCTTTCTACCTCCTCCAATCCCTCCCCCTGCAACACACCAGAATCGCATCCGCACCGCACCCTGCATCCTGCAGATGGTGGGCCCACAGGACGGCACCACGTAGCCATTTCAGGCTGAGCCTGACCGGGTTCTGTGCGTCACCCGGCCGACCAGCGCTTGCCGGAGAATACCACCACAGGCCTGGCTCCAGGGGGGTGTCCCAGTGGGGTGTCCCGGTGTACCTTGTCCGGGCGACGTTCTCTGATTTTTATTTCCCAACCAATCATAACAGGCTATATAGTGTCGTAGTATATAATAGTATAGTAGTGTAGTGTGTTATAGTGTATGTTCGTTTCGTGTGGAGTAGTGTATAATAGTGTGTAGTAGTGTGTCATGTGTATTCTGTAGTGTATAGTAGGGTGTAGTAGTATAACGAGTCTCGGACACTTCTTGTCTTTCTTCTTTATTTATTAGGGCGCAGAACACATTCCTGCAGAGGGAACTGGTAGGAACGTTGGGTTGCTCGGTCAATGGCCAGGGTCGACGGCGGCGTGGTGTGTTCCGTAAATATGCCCGACTGTGAGGGTGGGCACAAGCCGGCGTGAGTAGGTTAAACGTTGAGTTTTATAAGGGCACCACGGGGTGACCAGCCCCTCCCCACACAGCCCCTCCCCACCCTCCCCACCCAGCCCCTCCTCAACCTCCCCTCCCCACCCAGCCTCTCCCTCCCCACCCAGCCCCACCCTGCACAACGGATGGACGGACACAATAATCCCCTGTGGGCTGGTGGAACCAGTGGGTTCCTACCAGTATAACATACTCTCATATCCTACAGTACTTAGCTTTGACTAGCATACAGTACTGGGCTAGAATAACTACAGACACTTGGGCTAGGACAACACCCAAGCAATGACCGCATGGAGACAGCGACGACACAGAGACACCATTGGAACCTCATTTGCCAGTAAAAATATATATATATTTTTACCCTTCTATCTGGCAACAAAACTGACACCTTTTTTTTTACAAGGAGTCATGTTTGCATAGACCACAATACCTGCAGTCATAATGCAAACAAAAAACACAACTCTGATCATGTATGTGCACTGTCCTTGAAGTTGATTGGTCCACACCCGAGACAGCTTTCCTTAGAGCCTAGTCTCACATGGGTTGGACCAGATGACGCCAAAAAATGTGTCAGTTTTGTTGCCAGATAGAAGGGTAAAAAAAAAAAAATTATGACACAGAGACAGCGACGGCCCATCGACAATGGCGGCATAGAACCGGTCTATCCCAAATCCCAGGGCTGCCCCTGAGCTCTCTCAGCCTCCCGCCTTATATTCCTCCCCGGCGTGGCCTTGCCCCACCCTCGGCCACGCTCTCTTTCCCGAACTGGCTCAGCCAAAGCCGAACATCCCCCTATGATTCCCTCCTGTAATTATCCCTCATGACCACCTGGCCATGCACTGTCCCTATCCCCTTATTATCTCCACCCACGCACCGTCTCTCTTTTTCTGCACTGTCCCTACAGTGGCGTAGTGTGTAATAGTGTGTAGTAGTGTATATTGTAGTATATAGTAGTGTAGTATATACTAGTTGTAGATTGTAGTAATATATAGTAGTACTTAGTAATTTAGTAGTGTATAATGTCGTAGTATAGTGTGTAGTATATAGTAGTGTAGTAGTACATATGTAGTGGTCATTGTAATGTAACACGCCATCACCACTACTGCCCTGGTGTTGCGCCAGCCATGGGCCAACAGAGGGCAACAGCAAGTCCGGCCTGTGCCAGGCAACGCCGTTAAGCGCGGGAACCCAGAGGGCGGTTAGGAACCGGAAGAACACACCCCAGGCCCCCAATGGGGGTTGGGGGATTACGCAATAGTCCAGGTCCCTCAAGAAGGTTCTAGAGAGTAGGCGTGGCCAGGGTCGTTTATGCCATTTATTGTGAAAATTCTGTCACAGTTCCTATGATTGCTTTTTCATTGCTTTCATGGCTTTATTTTGGTGATTTCGAAGGGTGTGTTGGTTTGGCCATGTTTGTGTTGTTGTAGTACAGAGTTAGACTGATGGCCTTAATCTAAGTTGTCTTGTGGTTGTTGTTGTTGTTGTTGTTTGACTTGCATCCCACTGGGATTTTTACACACAGCGTTGGTGTACGGTGTTTTTTCTGCAATATTTTGCTGTCTTTTCTTGGATTTTCTGTTTGCACTTAGTCACATATTCACTTTAAGATGTTTTATTGTTCATGTTTTTGTTTGTTGCGGTTGCGGTTGCACCCGATTCAAGAGCCGAATGGCTCACAGGGCTATAACTAATAAATGAACTTGAACTTGACTCTGGCCACCGTATATAAGCCGGACCTCTGAACGGGTTGGGCTGTCGTCGTCAAGTTGAAGACCCGAAGAGCCAGCTTAGAATAAGCACCCTGGCAATCCCCGGACCCGTCGTCCATCTAAGGGCCGCGTCTGAGTGGTTCAGTGGCCGGGACCTGAGGACCTTGGCTGGGTCGGGTTAGGCTAGCCTGCCCCAGTGCCAGAGGTCGCAAACGGGTTTTGATTCTTTACCCGTACCTGTACCCGGCCGCACCAGGGTCGCAAATGGGTACCCGTACCTGTACCCGGCTGGGTACGGGTACCCGTTCCCTACCCGTACCCGTACCCTACCCGAAATGAGTGACAAACGGTTACTCACCAGTGACTCACGGCCTACCCGTACCCGGCCGCACCAGGGTCGCAAACGGGTACCCGTACCCGTACCCGGCCGGGTATGGGTAGCCGGGTATCGGGTAGGGTACGGGTATCGGGTACCCGATTGCGACCTCTGCCCAGTGCTCCTAACCAGAGGACTGAGATATAGAGTGGTCCTAGTGATAGAGAGCACGATAGACTGGAGGCTGGACTTCCCCAGGTATCAGGTGGAAGGGGCCGTTAGCCCTTCGTGTTAGGGACCATGTACTGTCATTATTATAAAAATACGTGTTGCCTTCAGTGAAGACTGGGTCTCCATCATTACCACTTCAAATATAGTAGTGTAGTGTGTATTAGTTTTTCGTAGTTTAGTAGCGTATCATAGTTTAGTAGTGTGTAGTGTATAAGTATATTTAGTAGTATATTGTGTAGTATATCGTCGTGTAGTAGTACATTTAGTAGTATAGTATATAGTAGCATAGTATATAGTAGTGTAGTGTGTAGTAATATATAGCAGTATAGTATATGGTAGTATATAGTGTAGTGTATATATATATGTGAGTATGTAGAACTAATTGCTCTGTGGACCCCCCCCCCCCCCCACACACAGAGGAGAAATCGACCAACTGGTGGATTTTCAGCGTCGGAGGTAAACGATGACGTCACCACACCTTCACGTGATCGCTGCTGTGACGCTGCGTGATGCTGTGTGATGATGATGCTGTGTGATGGTGATGCCATAGTGTATAGTGTAGAGTAGAGTAATGTAGTGTGTAGTTTAGAGTATAGTGTATACTGTAGTGTATAGTTGTGTGCAGTGTAGTGTATACAGTAGAGTATAATAGTGTACGGTGTAATGTACAGTGTTATGTACAGTTGTGTAAAGTGTAGTGTACACCGTAGTTGATAGTAGTGTAGTGCATAGTGTAGTGTGTTGTAGTGTATAGTAGTGTAGTAGTATATATTAGTTTAGTAGTGTATAGTTTAGTAGTAGTATTTCTTGTAGCATAGCATAAATAAATATATATTAGTGTGTAGTGCAGTAGTATAATTAGTAGTCTTCTTTTTCGTATGGATGCGAAGCAGCAGCTTAAATATGTAATTTAGATTAGTTATCGACTCACTTGTTTGATCAGATGCAGAGTTGATCTTGTCCTGCTCCTCCTTTAAAGGAGTGAAGACATCACCTGTCTAATGTGATCCATCGTTTGGCATTGGTGGCTCCACTCGCAGGCAACCAAATATTTGATGGCACCATTTGTCCATCAGGTGGCCGCATCAGTTCATGATCGACCATTGGCGGAATGAAAGGGTGAAACAACGGGAAAGTTTCGAAGGCAGGGTCCTGTACGAGACGTTTATTTTTGACGTCGACCACAGTCCAGACTGGCTTCCATCTTTCGCCTTCATTTATATTTGTGGCGTGGAGTGAGGCTGCTCAGATCCAGAATGGGTGACGTGATTCTTGGTGAAGAGGCAGCACTGGGTGTATGTCCCGATGTATCGGAAGGTGCGGCGGGTTAACGAGAATGTTTTAGTACTCGTTGATGGCCGCTGCTTCGCGACAGATTTGCGGCGGAGTGACGTGGGGTGAGCACCGGTGTAACAGGCCGTAGTATACCCCCAGACCGTAGTATACCCGCGGGGTTAAAACGGCCTAGGCTAGATAATACTCTGGGGTATATTATGGCCTAGGCCAAATCATACCCCCATGATAGTAATAGTGTTGACCGATATATATATGAATTACTAAATTTTTCCAACATTTTATTTAAAACTGTAAACACATAGACTTTGATTGCTTCAACCAGAAAAACTTTAATAATAATAACCCTAACCCTATCCCTAACCTTATCCTTATCCCTAACCCTATCCCTAACCATAACCCTAAAAATGCTTCAATTGATCAAATTGAGATTCTTACTTCCATTGATACGCTTTTTAGATATCGATTGAAGTTCGTTTGTACTTTCACATGGGGAATATTCTGGCCTGGAGGTGTATGGTCTGGCCCAGTCTAGTTTAAACCCCCGGGGGGTAATGTTTAACCTAGGACACTTTATCCCCCCGGGTATACTCTGGCCTGGCTAAACTACACCCGGGTTTAATCGGGTAAGGGGTTATTTTAGCCTGTTACACCGGGATCCACTGGGTCAGCGTTGACTTCAGTGTACCTGAGATGAAAATCCCATGGACAGCCAAAACCACCAATACACAAGTTCTGCAAGATATGGGCACTGACAGGCAACTGCTGAAGACCATCATTAGCAGGAAGTGTTACTACCTAGGCCACATTGCCCGAAACGACCACAAATACCAGCTATTAAAGCAAATCCTGGAAGGAAAAATCGAAGGGAAAAAACGACCAGGACGGCCAAAAACGACATGGCTCACTCAGTAACATCAAAACATGGCTACAATTAACAACAGCAGCACAAACTCTACACGCCGTGCTAGACCGGGACCAATATCATCGTGAAGTCGCACACGCCGTTAGGCAGCACTAAAGAAGAAGAATAACTCGAGTGCGAGCATTGCTTCCCCACACTGGTGAGCAATAGTCTCCCGTCGAATGCACGAGGTCGAGTGTGGCAGTCCATGGTGTTTGCGCATCACAGCCACAACTAGTTCCTGCCGGTTTATGGATAATGTTCGTGCGGGTTTTTATTTTGTTGCCCAACTGCTCAATGTGATCCAGCACCACTCCACGCATTTCGGGAGTGGGTCGTGGGTGACGGTTTTACCACAAAACTCGATCTTCAGCGTACTTTTTGCGTCTGCGTTGTTGAGATGGAATCCTGAGGACACTGTCTTGGTCATATTTGGCTTACGTCACCAGGAGTAGAAATCATCTTCCAAATTCTCCAGGTCAGTGTTCAAGATGTCTTGAGTGGCGCTGAGTGTCGTCGCCCGGCTGGCCAGTGCTAGGTCATCTGCATAAATTAACTTGCGGTTTAATGTGGCCAGCATGTCACTGGTGTAAATATGAAATGGGGCTGGTGCTAATACCGACCCGTGCAGTTGGCAATTTTTTTGAGTTCGTGGGTCGCTGAACTGGTTTCCAAGATGGATGCGAAATTGTCAGTCGCTGAGCATAGTGGTGATCAAGCAAGCCGTTCTTTCACACTTGATGGTGTTGGCGAGTTTAAAGAGCTACACTGAACGCATTTCTAAATCATCTCACCTCGCAAAACCCATCCATCCAGTTCACAATGGAAGTGGAAGCTTACAGAACTCTACCATTTTTGGATATTCTGCTCAGACGGGGTCGTAATGTTAAAATAACACGCAGTGTTTACCGAGATAAAACGCATACTGACGCCTATCTGAATGCAGAGTCACACCATCATCCCGCCCAGAAATCTGCTCTCATCAAGACTCTCGTTCATCGGGCTAAGAAAGTGTCAGATGGTGATAGTCTGAGAAGTGAAATAAAACATGTTAAAGAAGCACTACAATTGAACGGTTACAATGATGCACAAATCAACAGGGCATGGAATGCCAAAACCAAATCAAATAACATGAACATTGAAACTGCCCAAGTAATAAAAATGATGAAAATACCTTCTTGGTTCTTTCGGTAAAGGTCACGTAGAAGGGAAGTAATAAAATAATAAAAATAAAACATAATAAAATAAAATATTATATTATTTTATATTATTATATTATTTTATATTATATTATTTTATTTTATTATGTTTTATTTTTATTATTTTATTACTTCCCTTCTACGTGACTTTACCGAAAGAACCAAGAAGATGAATCCCTGCAGTCACGAAAGCTTTAAATCGAGATAAAAATACCGTACATTGCGAGAGTAACTGGTAAACTAACCAGATGTTTGGAAAAAAAAAAAAACATCCGTGTCGGGTTTGGCATGGTACATAAAATACAGAAATTCATATCTGGTACAAAATATGCATTATCGAAGCTATCAACAGAAGATACGTACCGGACTAATTGTACTTGTGGCAAATGCTATGTCGGGCAAACAGGACGAATGATCAGCACGAGACAAAAAGAACACCAAATAAATATTAAATACTCCCAAATACAACTGTCAGCAGTAGCAGAACACGCGTGCCCACAAGGACACTCCATTGATTTTGATGTTGAAGTTACGTGCAAAACTAGTTACTACTGGTCAAGACTAATTGTAGAATCTATAGAAATTGAAAGAAATACAAAAAATTGTAACCGTTCGGATAGCTACCGACTTATTGTTGCGTGGAAGCGAATAATCAAATCAGACATTGTTTAAATGCATGCCTATACAGGCTACCATACTTCAATAGGGATTACCCTTGGTATGGCTATTTTAATAGAGGAAGGACTAGTTTAGTAACTAGTGTAGTTAGCCTGGCGGTCACCACCATAGGTTGTTATTCTGTTAAGGGGGAAAGTTACCCCGTGTGTTGGAACTGAATAAATGTGTTGCCTCCAAGTCTACTTTTGCGACTCAGTTGAACCCATTACATATAGGTTAGTAGTGTATAGTAGTGTAGTGTGTAGTAGTATATAGTAGTGCAGTGTGTAGTATATATCAGTGTAATAGTATATAGTAGTGCAGTGTGTAGTAGTATATAGTAGTGTAGTAGTGTATAGTATTACTTGTGTTGGACATGAAGAAAAAACATGCTCTGGTAATATGTGGCATTGTCGATTTAAAGCTTTCGTGACTGCAGGGATTAATCTTCTTGGTTCTTTCGGTAAAGTAACGTAGAAGGGAAATAATTAAATAATACAAATAAACATAATAAAATAAAATTCTCACGACGTTTCGGCTGCTTGTGTTGTGGCCGAAACGTCGTGACAATTCTATTTTATTATGTTTTATTTTTATTATTTTATTATTTCCCTTCTACGTGACTTTACCAAAAGAACCAAGAAGATTTGGCATTGTCTTTGAAAATGGTTGGTCCACAAACAGAGACAGCTTTCTCTAGAGCCAACCAGTGTTAGATCAGACGAGGCCAAAAGGCGAACAGCACTGGTCTACCACTGGTTGAGACAAGTACTGTGTGTGGTTAATGCAGACTTGATTCATTGCAAAATTCCTGTTTGTTGTTTTAACATCTTAACACCTCCTGTTGTATTGTCAGAATGGGTACAACCTATTTTTATGTAGTGTGTAGTGTAGTATATATATGTGTGTGAGTATGTAGAACTAACCGCTCTGTGTCACCCCCACACAGAGGAGGAGTTGACCATCTTGTGTTATGTTGGCGTCTTGGCACTCGGAGGAGGTAAGCGATGACGTCACCACGCCTCCACGTGACGACGGTGTGTGATGGTGATGCTGTATGATGCTGTGTGTGATGGTGATCGTCTGTGATGCTGTGTGTGATGGTGATCGTCTGTGATGCTGTGTGTGATGGTGTGTGATGGTGATCGTCTGTGATGCTGTGTGTGATGGTGATGCTGTGTGATGCTGTGTGATGGTGATGTTGTTCGTGATGCTGTGTGATGGTGATGCTGTGTGATGGTGATGCTGTATGATGCTGTGTGATGGTGATGTTGTTCGTGATGCTGTGTGATGGTGATGCTGTATGATGGTGATGCTGTATGATGCTGTGTGATGGTGATGTTGTTCGTGATGCTGTGTGATGGTGATGCTGTGTGATGGTGATGCTGTATGATGCTGTATGATGCTGTGTGATGGTGATGTTGTTCGTGATGCTGTGTGATGGTGATGCTGTGTGATGGTGATGCTGTGTGATGGTGATGCTGTGTGATGGTGATGTTGTTCGTGATGCTGTATGATGGTGATGCTGTATGATGCTGTGTGATGGTGATGTTGTTCGTGATGCTGTGTGGTGGTGATGCTGTGTGATGGTGATGCTGTATGATGCTGTATGATGCTGTGTGATGGTGATGTTGTTCGTGATGCTGTGTGATGGTGATGCTGTATGATGCTGTGTGATGGTGATGTTGTTCGTGATGCTGTGTGATGGTGATGCTGTGTGATGGTGATGCTGTGTGATGGTGTTGTTGTTCGTGATGCTGTGTGATGGTGATGCTGTATGATGATGTGTGATGGTGATGTTGTTCGTGATGCTGTGTGATGGTGATGCTGTGTGATGGTGATGCTGTATGATGCTGTATGATGCTGTGTGATGGTGATGTTGTTCGTGATGCTGTGTGATGGTGATGCTGTATGATGCTGTGTGATGGTGATATTGTTCGTGATGCTGTGTGATGGTGATGCTGTGTGTAATGCTGTGTGATGGTGATGCTGTTCGTGATGCTGTGTATGATGGTGATGCTGTGTGATGGTGATGCTGTGTGTAATGCTGTGTGATGGTGATGCTGTTCGTGATGCTGTGTATGATGGTGATGCTGTGTGTAATGTTGTGTGATGATGATGCTGTGTGTGATGGTGATGCGGTGTGATGCTGTATGTAATGCGGTGTGTGATGGTGATGCTGTGTGATGGTGATGCGGTGTGATGCTGTATGATGCTGTGTGATGGTGATGTTGTTCGTGATGCTGTGTGATGGTGATGCTGTATGATGCTGTGTGATGGTGATATTGTTCGTGATGCTGTGTGATGGTGATGCTGTGTGTAATGCTGTGTGATGGTGATGCTGTTCGTGATGCTGTGTATGATGGTGATGCTGTGTGATGGTGATGCTGTGTGTAATGCTGTGTGATGGTGATGCTGTTCGTGATGCTGTGTATGATGGTGATGCTGTGTGTAATGTTGTGTGATGATGATGCTGTGTGTGATGGTGATGCGGTGTGATGCTGTATGTAATGCGGTGTGTGATGGTGATGCTGTGTGATGGTGATGCGGTGTGATGCAGTGTGATGCTGTGTGTAGTGTGTGGTTGTGTGTAATGCTGTGTGTGGCTGTGTGATGCTGTGTGACGCTATGTGTGGCTGTATGTGATGCTGTGGGTGATGTGAGTGAGGCTGTGTGTGATGCTGTGATGGTGATGCTGCTGCGACGCCATACATCCATCACAGACATAATTTCAACCGTGATGACGGTTACAAACTGAGTAATCATTGGAAAGATGTGATTAACCATGCAAAAACGATTTAACTACACTTATTTGCCAATCTTATTTGACAGACAACCATCACAGTTTTACCATGTTTAGTGGTGGTTTCCCTGTCACAGGTTGAGTCACAAACCGCACCTCTCCATAACAAAAGCTCAGTCTTTTGTTATGCAGTCTATTCTTAGTCTTAAGCCTCACCTTACCATATTAATAAAAAGTATGCGGCCCTTGCCCCACCACCTTCTCCAACCATTATATAAACGGAGTGGTAGCTCCTGCAATCTCTCATTCACTTGATACAGCTGTCGTGGCTGTGACGGTTCCACCTGAAGACGGAAGCTTGTGTTGCCTCCGAAACGTCGTGATTTTTATTTTATTTTACTTTTTAATGTTTTTACCTACACGGTGACTTTACCGAAAAAACCTAAGAACATACATCCACGTGTTCATTTGTGTGATGGTGTTTTTGTTATCATCATCGATGTTGTCGGCTCGCCTCCTCCCTCCTCACTGTTGTTATCTTTGCTGTTGTTCCCATTTTTGATGTTGTTGTGAGCCAGTGGGCGCAGTTGTTGTGGTCACTTGGGTAATAGGCGCCATGGGCTTCACCGCCGAAGGGATCGCCGCCGGCTCCATGGCCGCCTGGCTCATGGCGCGGGAAGCGGCAGCCAACGGAGGAGGGGTCGTGGACGGAGGGGTCGTGGCCACGCTGCAGTCCATCGGTACGGAGGTGCAGGGCCTTGGAGTGAAGGGCTTCTGGCCAGGGCTGTTAGGGGGCAAGTGCTGTGAGTAGTAGCGAGTAGAGGAAAGACAGAGACAAAGGTACTCCCAGGTAGCCTCTAGCAGGGATGTAGCGGCAAGTGCTGTGAGTAGTAGCGAGTAGAGGAAAGACAGAGACAAAGGTACTCCCAGGTAGCCTCGATCAGGACGTAGCCTTGCCTGCCGGAGGAGCTCACTGATAGGACTTCATCGAGATATTTCAAGGTTTTGTGAGCTCCTCACACAATCCATCCTGGTTAAACCCGGGATGGATCGTAGACAGGACAGCCTGAACGTTTCTAACCGGTGAAGATGTTCTATTAGGCAAGTCCACGTTTTGCAAGCGTAGAGAAGGGAGGGCATGACCGTGGCCGAGAAGACCTGAAGCTTCGTGTGAAGCGACAGACCAGGTAGCTTCCACGCAGCGTTACATAGCTGATGAAAAGATATTGCTGCTCGACTAATTCGGAGTGAGACCTCTGCTGTCAAACCAAAGCTGGTCATAAGCACACTGCCCAGGTATGTAAAACTCTCCACACTCTTCACAACTGCCCATCACTAATGTGGAGTTTAGGTGGTAGAGTTTTTGATGGTACAAAATACCCAGGCAGGTGCTTAGTTTTTTGTGAGGCTGATGACAAGACCCCACCCCTTAGTGGCATGCTCCAGGTCTAGCAGCAGCACCTCTATCTACTCCTCTGACTGAACAGCAATCACCAAAACATCATTGGCATACGTAACATGGTGGACCAATAGGGACCCATCTCTAGACTGCACCTGGGCATTGATCAGCTTCCCATTGCATTTGTACCAGATGGAGATTCCTCCAGAACAGCCCTAGAAGGCTTCTCGAATTACGTTTTCGAAAAGACGTTGTGCACCCCAAGGTGAACAAGGAATGGCTCCAATTCCCAGGCACATAGCTTGAACCGGGCCTTCCCACCATCATGAAGGTCCTTAATGATTGTGAGCAGAGAATTAGGGACTCCAAAAGCACGAAGAACAACCAACAGCCCAGGTCTTTTGATGGCATCATAGGCCTTGACCAGGTCAATAAAGCAGAGATGTAGGTCTTGTTGGAATTCCCTAAACCTCTAATGTAGAAAACGAACAGAAAACATGGCATCTGAACAGGACCACCCTGGCCCACAACCACATTGGAGCTCTGCAGGCCTGTCAGCGTACCTGGCAAGGCGATTGTTGAATAATCCTTGCCAGGACCTTGTGTGGTCCCCCTTATTAACGAGTGGGACCACCAGGGCATCATTAAAATCCTGTGGAACCCGTCAAGTGGTCCAAGCTGTTATTATGATGTCATGCAGGGTGGTTTGCACACAAACCCCACATTCCCTCAGCATTTTGCTTGGGATATCATCTCTTCCCATCGCTCTTTCTGGTTTCAGACTAAAGATCGCCTTCCGTACTTCCTCAAAAGATTGCACCTCAGCTAGACACTCACAGGAGGTGACTACTTTTCCAATATTTGAGACACAGCATGCTCAGCAGGGTCATCCCCACTTTGTCCCATGATGTTTTCTGGGCTGAAGGATTTCCTTTCCCCCAGGATCTCAAAAAAATGTTCAGCAAACCTCCAACCTTGTTCCTGGTGGCCGGAGATCAGATCGCTGTTCAGTTCTTTAAGGATAGTGATAGGTGTAGTACTGCAAGTTACTTTTTGATGGAGTTAAAAAGTGATTTATGATCACGGGTTACTGAGGCAGAATTCTTCTCCTCAGCAACCCACGATCACCACTCATCCTTGCGGCGTCGCATGGCTCTCCGAACCTCTGAGCGAAGGCTGCGGCAAGATTCTTCATTCTCTGACGTGGGATGATTTAGACAGTAGGTGTGGGCCTGTTGCTTTTTCTCAGCCAGCCGCAACACCTCCTCCATTAGCCAGGGTCTCTAGGGAGGTCTGGACCATGTACCCTAAGTAGCCATTGCAGCTGCATGAACTACAGTCCTAAACCTTGCCCATTACCCCTTGGCTTCAGGAGGAGGGGGCATGATGCAAACCCCAGCTGCAAGCAATGATTAAGTTCTCGTTTCTAACTTTCATCAACTAGCTGAGACCATGCTACTAAGGGTTTGAATGGGGTCCTAGATTGACACCCACCACCAGAGTGGAAGAATTGCAGGTGCATCTTACAGTTGACAAGCCGATGGTCAGTGGGCATATCAGCTCCACGGTAGGACCTAGTGTCAAGGACATGGGTCCGCATCCACTGTTCTGTCACTATATAGTCCAGCAGATGTTCTTGCTTGGACCTGGTGTGCATCCATGATGTTGTGTGGATGTGTTGATGCCAGATCAGCCCCCTACTGTTGTTATTGAGATGATTTAGCACATGCCTTCCAATCACTCCAGCCCAGGTGCCACTCGAACATTAACATAACCCAACAGGATGACTGTATCCCGAGGGGCCATTTTAGCTAGCACCTGGGACAGGAGATCATAGATGGCATCTGACTCATCAGTCATGCCTGCATCCTTCCTCTGATGTTCATCTCCGCTGGGGGCGTAAGCAACTACTACCACCATTCCTCATCTCTTGTTGATCGGGAGGTAAGTCCACAGTAGCCTGGGGCTTACAGCTTCCCACACATCATTGCCATGGTCCCACACCACACTGATTATTTTATTCAGAAGAAGAGCCACTCCCAGTTGTTTGGCAGTCTCCTGTCGTGAGTAGAAGACTGCCACTCCTCACGGTGACTGGACTTTCTGAATGCTGTATAGATCCAGGCAGTACTTGTCCAGCTCCTGACAGAGGAGTGGCAACCTCTCTTTCGCAGTGAGTGTTCGAACATTCTACATGGCCACCGTCAGTGTTTTTTTGTCGTTTCTGGAGGAACCCCGAGGGTGCCGGGATCAGTCTCCTGGCTCCGTCAAATGGGGTTTGGCCAGGAGACATCTTGGACAACAGTCCCCCCAGGGGCCTCCAGCACAAGCTTAGCTAGATATTATCCCGTGTGTTTGTGGAACTTGAATTGAAGGTGGAGGTGGTACCAGCATCTTGCACCTGTCCGGAGCCCCCATTAGCCGCTGTGGTGGCTATAATTGCCATGAGGGGTATTGCCGATTTTGGGATTGGCCATTCCCCCATGCTCACCACAGCATTGCCGTCCGGCACAGAGGACGTAGGGAGTTGTTTTTGCCGGAATACCCACACACTCAGAGACGCATACAAAGGTCCCCCAGATAGCCTCTAGTTGGTCAATAGGGCAAGTGCTGTTAGTAGTAGCGAATAGAGTAGACACAGAGACAAAGGTACCCCCAGGTAGCCTCGAGCAGGGATGTAAGGTGGTAAGTGCTGTTAGTAGTAGAGAGTAGTGGATTCGACACAAAGGCAAAGGTACCCCAGGTAGCCTCTAGTAGGGCTATAGGGACAAGTGCTGTTAGCAATAGCGAGTAGATTAGACACACAGACAATGGTACTCCCAAGTAGCCTCTAGCAGGGCTGCAGGGGCAAGTCCTGGCTATTGTACACCATTACAAAGGTAACCCCAGGTAGCCTCTCGTAGGGCTGTAGGGGCAAGTTCTTGCTAATGTAGACAAACTCAGAGACACAAAGGTCCCCCAGGTAGCCTCTGGATTTCCGCGGTGGCGAGATGTTAACTCTCCCCCCCCTCCTTTCCGTCCTCCCCCCTTTCTCCTCTCTATCCGTTCCTCGCTTCACCCCCTCCTCCTCCCCCTCCACCCCCCCTGTCCCTCTGCTACCCTGCCCCCTCTCTCTCCCCCCCTGCCCCTCCCCTCCTCCTGCCCCCTGTAGGAGTTGCTGGGCTGAGTATTCCATCTAAGATCATCGTGTGGACAGCCGGAGTAGCCATCACCAAGGTGGTGGTGGACCTCTGTTGTTGCGTCTTGAAACATTTATAAAAAAAATTTAAATTTAAATGAAGATTGGGAAATTGCGTAATTATCGGAAATTATGCTAATTAGTGCAATTATGCGTATCAATTATGCTAATTAGGGATGTGATCATATTTGGTTATGTGAAATTATTCCATTATGCTAATGTATACAGTTCTTATAATTAAGATTATTATGCATGATCTCAGGAAGACACCACTCAGATACTTCTGTGTTAAGCAATTAAAATTCAAAACAAAAACATAACACTCGAATATGCGAACTCTTAAGCTTGGAATTGTCAACACAGTACCACTGGGGATGTTCTCATTGATCCGTACATTTAACCCTCAATGATCACGTTGTTAAACTGGGTAACCGAACAATTGATTAATTCCTCAAAGTAAGGCGAGCATATACGGTGATAGGAAAAAGTTCTTAAACGACGACATTCATACGAATGGCAATTTTTTAAAATTATATCCCGAAGGCAAAAGTATACGTCAATAGATTCATCGGCAGGATTATATTATTAACGAAATGTCTTGGAACAATGGTGTGCGGCAATATGCCTGCTTCCGCAGATGCTTATCTTTTGGCTAAGGCTTCAATTAATTCGTGGGCAAGATTCTGTGATCAAAAGAAAGGTTGAACACAATATTCTCCCTGTGAGCGTGTAGATTCGTAACGAAGGTTTCAAACGTTTAGTTTACATCGATGAATCTATTGGTATTTTGTATGCAATTAAAAAGAAAATTACCGACTAATGTACTGTAATTCTAGATTTTAAGCTTTCGTGACTGCAAAGATTCATATTCTTAGGTTTTTTTTCGGTTAAGTCACGTAAGTAAAACATCAAAATAAAAAAATAAAAAATAAAAATCACGACGTTTCGGAGGCAACACAAGTCTCCGTCATCAGGTGGGACCGTCACAGCCGGATTAGCTGCATCAAGTGAGGCAATGATTCAAGATGTAATCCCTTAAAAAGGCAAGTTGAGGGGGAGGAGAGGGGGGGGGCTCATCAGAATGTGGTAGCCAATGAATGGAACGCATCGGGAGGGGGAGGGGGGGGGGCAAAAGAATGCGCGTCGGCGTGGACGCTGTTGGTGTCTCGCACCCCCAGGGTGTGCGTGCTGCACCCCAGACTAAGAAGAGCCACTGGGCTTAGAGTGTGGAGCTGCCTGTGCCGGTTACCAACAGCGTGGCCGCTATTGGTACCAGAGCACTTGACGCCGTCTGGCTTCACGGTCCACCAACCCTCACCCACGATGCCCGAGTGCTGAGCGGCCCAGCCACTCAAGTAGAGGATGTCCGTGCACTGACAGTCCCAGGGGTGTGGAGCGGAATGATCTATAACTCTGCACATAAAGCACTCAGCCTGACTAGAACAACAACAACAACAACCTGCAGCTTCCACTCCTCCATTAGAACAACGCCCACCTCTTGTCTCCGAGACCTGCATCTTCATCATCACCACCTCTGCCACCCAACTATGAGCAGGCCTACCCCTAATCCTGCCTCAACCCCATCACTACAGCTATCACCATCACTACCTCTACCCATATCACTTTCCCTATCACTATCCCTATCTCTACTCCAACGCTTATCACCACCCCGAACACCATTACTACCCCTATCACAGTAACTACCCCAATCACTACCACTACACCATCCCCTATCTCTACACCATCCCCTATTACTACACCTACCCCTATCACTAGACCTAACCCCTATAACTACCCCTACTCCAATCACTACATCTATCACCATCACTACCCCTATCACTACACCTACCCCTAATCCTATCTCAACCCCCATCACTACACTGCACGTCGGCGTGGACGCTGTTGGTTTTGCACAACGCAACGGGAGGGGGAGGAGGGGCGGGGCCAAAGAATGCACGATGGCATGGGTGCTGTTGGTGTTGCACAACGCCAACGCATTAGACAGAGAGGGGGAGGCCTGATACACATGATAGAAAAAAAGAACGAAAATGTCCATGTTTATACCAATTCTGGCTGAACAATGAAGAGAGTACTGTTAAACACTGGGGATGTTAACACTCGGTAAAGTAAAGTAAGATAGTGCCTGTCAGATAAGATGGTCCAAAAAAGTGTAATTAAGTCTTTTTTGCGTGGTTGATAACATCTTTCCAATGATTACTAAGTTTGTACCCCTCATCACGGTTGAAATTATGTCTGTGTTTGTATATTTGTATGGCTTCGTGTACAAACCTTTGATGGTAGCCGGGAGGTTTGCAGAGAACCTTGGTCTCGGAAAAGACAATTTCATGAGAGCCCGCCGAGTTGTAGCAATGATCGGCAACGGCCGATGTACTGTACTTATAAACGACCGGATTCATATCACTCAATGAGCACCAATGTCTTCATGATCAGCTAATGGTTTATGCACTCTTATAATTGGTCTTCTTATTATCAGTCCGGGTATGTGTTTATGTATGTGTTGGTGGATTGTTTCCTTGATACATTCTTTGTGTTAAGCAGACGCCGGGTGATGCGTCGTGAGTTTGTGAGGATGGGGGAGGGGCATACAAACAGCTTGTTGCACATTCCTTCCCTTTATTAATGCTACCCCTATCCCCTGCCTTTGATGCTGCTAATCCTGCATAATGCACGGGCATAATATGACTTTAAACCCCCCGCAAAACTTCCTACGCATTTCACAAGTAGTACTAATCCCATATCTGCATTTCCCATGAATATGCTAAAATTCATCTTGATATGCAAATTCTTTTGTCAAGGCCCCCTCCCCCCTCCATCCCAGCTTAAATAGACGCTCCAAGCCTGGGGTGTGTCATTCAGACTGTCTTTCCGACAGACCTGTTCTTCACCTGAGGACGGCTGCTTGCGTTGTGGCCGAAACGTCGTGAGAATTATTTTATTATGTTTTATGTTTATTTTATTATTTCCCTTCTACGTGACTTTACCGAAAGAACCAAGAAGGAAACAAGTATAACCCGTAAAAACAAAGTGTTTCACTATAAATCCTTTATATGCGTGGCGGCTAGAGTCCTCTCGTCCTCTGGCTTGAGATGGCTGCCACCTATGGGTCAGATTATTGCATTGCACCATTAAGCAATTGGTAATTAAATATAATATTTTTGTCCTAAAAAGTGTAAAATTTAGCAAAATTTTTTCACGAACATTAATTGTCACGCACATCGAGTCTGTGTGCAAAATGTCAGCTCGATTGGATCACGGGAAGTGGGTTAAACAACGACCGAAAGATTTGCACGGTCCTAAGCAAGCAAGCGAACTTGATATAAAGGATTTAAACAAGTAAACCCGTAAAAACAACGTTTTTCACTATACATCCTTTATATGCGTGGCGGCTAGAGTCTTCTCGCCCTCTGGCTTGAGATGGCTGCCACCTATGGGTCAGATAATTGTCTGCCACCATTAAGCAATTGGTAATTAAATATTTAATTTGTTTTCCCTAAACAGTGTAAAATTTTGGAAACATTTTTTCGCGAACATTAATTGTCTCGCACAACGAGTCTGTGTGCAAAATGTCAGCTCGATTGGATCACGGGAAGTGGGTTAAAAACGACTGAAAGATTTGCACGGTCGTAAGCGCGCAAGCAAGCGAACTTAATATAAAGGATTTAAAAAAAAGCTTGTTGCTCGCTCGCTCGGCGGCAGCCATGGCTATTAATTAACGTGACGGGAACAGACAGGGTCACGTTAGGGTAATTTGGGACCTAAGTGGTCGTAAATTGTAATTAGGACAGAGACGGACAGAGACAGGTGCGGTGAGAGAGTGTTTGGGAAGAGGGGCGTGGCAGGGTCGTTAGGGGGATAAAAGCCGGCGTGGAACAGGGCTCTGGGCTGCTGTTGTGGGAGAACCAAGGGACTGCCGTTGCCGTCGTCATCTTGGAGCGGGTCGTCTTCATCGCCCTGGAACGGGCACCTTGTAGTCTTGGAAGTCTTGTCTCCGTGACTGCCACGCGTCGCTCCTGTGTAGCCAGCCAGCTACACAGGGAGCGTCGCGTAGAGTCACAAAAGTTACCCAAGTGTATATAGTCAAATTTCAATTTAAAGCTTTCGTGACTGCACGAGGCGCTCTTCCCCAAGCATGGTGGTGCCCATTCAGACGCTGTCTTTCCGACAGACCTGTTCTTCATCTGAGGACGGCTGCTTGCGTTGTGGCCGAAACGTCGTGAGAATTATTTTGTTTTATTTTTTATATTTTATTATTTACCTTCTACGTGACTTTACCGAAAGAACCAAGAAGATGTATTTAGTCACTCGCGGTTACACGTTAAGTTATCAGTGAGTCGGTGGACTTTATTCACAATAACAGATTCGTGAAGGATGTCGTGATGCTGATAACGACACCCACACACGGCACTTGGCACTGACCACGTGACACGTCACTTCCCGTCGCCTGATGAACGTTAATGAATAAATGTCAAACACGCAACTGCTTGCGGATCGATCTATCAATTGATTTCATCGACGGCCAATCTCCTTGATTGAAATCACGGAGCGCATTCATAGCGATACGTTGAACTATAGCGTAACCACTTCCCTTCGTTATCTACGCACTGCTAGCGTTGGTTACCCTGTGATGGGTTCAGTGCGTTAGTGAACTGACCGTTCAGGGTGCCAATGAACTGGCGGTTCACTTATGGCGATCATCAGTAATAGAGCTGTGGGCGACAGCAGTGTTGGTGGTGGTGGTGATAACCTGATTCAACCATCTGATGTCAGCTGGGATCGCGGTGTTGTTGTTTTGAGGTCAGTGCCACGTGGCTTCTCGCTTGGTCGTGGTGGTGAAAGAAAACCAACTTGGACTGGAGACAAGGACTCCTTTATCATCACCATCAGCTGCAGCATCAACAACCTGTTTATGATATAAGAATAAGGCGTTGTTATATATAAATCTGCATTCAGAATGAGAATCAGGCACTGCTATATATAAGTCTTTGCCAGAATAAGGCTGCTATATATACATGTATTTGTGATTTCAGAAGAAGGCACTGCTATATATAAATCTAAATAAGATATAAGAAAAGGCACTGCTAAATATAAATCTATATAATATATAAGAATAAGGCACTGCTATATATGAATCTATACAAGGTATTAGATTATCATTCTCCAGCCAACTGCGCCTGTTCAGACATTCTGTACCTCAGCCGCTGGATCTCTCGAAACCTCGCAGCCGTGAGGGATATCAATTACAAGACAGACCCCGACCAGCCGCGTTGCTCTGGTACCAATAGCGGATGTCCACTCACTCGGCACGGCAGCGAGCAGAGCCTCGACTGAGCTCGCAGTGCGGGGAGTCCTGGAGTGGTCACAGCAGCAGCTGGAAAACATTTTGAGTGCCAATATCTTATCTCTGTCAGTGTTTTTTTAATGTACAAGTCTCGATGTTGTTCTTTAAGATGCTCAGTGTTGTGTCTTGTAGCTTAAGATTTGCTTGCTTCTCCAGATGTTAGTGAATGCTGCCACTAACTGCTTTCGCCTTAAGAGATCTTCGCTTTTTACGTCTCCCATTCAGTGGTTGTCCCATGCCAGGTGACTTCCCAAGTATGCCAGGTAAGTCCCACTGAGCTACAATTATCTTTTAGAGAAGCGACCTTGCGGGTAACGGGTGTATAACAAAATCGCTGGTCACCCCACCCTTGACCGAGTGGCTCTTGCCTTATCACGATCTGTCATGAGTCTTCAGATGCTTTCAGATCAGGCCATGTATAGCGTGACACCTCCACCACACCGCTTAAGTTTGCCTGGGGTCAAGGGCCAGCGACCCTTGAACCCTCTTCTCAGTTGCCACAAGAATCAAAGCCAAGCCTCCACAGGACGGATCAAAACAGAAACGAACTGCGTCTGCCCACCGACTATGAGACGAGGAACTGCGCTTCAGGCCTTCAAATGCCGAGCACATGGACATCTCCTAACTTCAGGGCACGCCTGGTAGGGACACAATCTTTAAGCTGCAGTGAACAGAATGATTAT